GTTGAGGGAGTACTTGAGTGGAGGCCCAATGTCCTTCTGCTACCTTAATACTACAGGCTTTCTCGCACTATACAGGAGTTTCCAGAATTATGAGTATGTCCTATTCAAAGGACTCTGTCCTAAGCCAGATTTGATGTAAGCTGAATATCCCTATCACGATCTTTATATATCTGATCTTTATTTGTCTTTGGGCGTTGGCACGAGAACGATACCATCGGTAAAATGTTGTAACATTGTACGTGGCACGTTATCACTAACAATATTCAACTAACTGCCATCAAGTCTATTTCAACTCACAGCAAACCTACAGGACAGGGGAAAACTGCCACATGGGCTTTGGAGACCAATTCCTTTTTTAAAGAAATAAAAAGCCTCATCTTTATCCCATAGAGTGGGTGGTAGTTTGGAGTGCCTGGTGGTTTCAAACTGCTGACCTAGTGGTTAGCAGCCCAATGCTTAAAGCACTACACCTTCAGGACTCTTAAGATGTACAAAATCAATGACAAGTTGTATGTGCAGCTCACCGTAACTTGACCTTATCATAAGTCAGAGACTATCTGTATTATAATTGTATGATTATATGTTCATATCCCTAAACAGTCTATTAATTCCTGGGGGACAGACAGAGTCTATTAATTCCTGGAGGGCATGACTTATCTTTCTATAGCCAGGGATCCAACTTCAAACAGGACACCTTGCAAACATTCCATAAATCTCCATTCAACTGAATGAGTTCCTCTTAGATTTAGTACCGTCTTTGCTTTACCTAGGAGCCCTGGTGGGGTAGTGGTTATGAGCTTGGCTGCAATCCAAAAGGTCAGTAGTTCAAAATCACCAGTTGCTCTGCAGGAGAGAGACAGGGCTTTCTACCCCCGTAGAGAATTATAATCTAGGAAACGACCCTGTCCTATAAGGTCACTATGAGTCAACATCAACTTGATGGCAGTGAGTTTGGTTTGGGTCTGGTTGCTCTGCCTCTCTCAGAAACAGAGCTTCCCTGCTGACCTCTGACTTCTCTTAGGTTAGGTAACACACAGCCATAGTCTCTATGAAATGGTCCTAGGAGAAAATATCTCCATCCTGGTATCAGTCTAACTCGAGTCACTAGCTCCTCTTGCTAAGCCTGACCTCCTGGGTGCAATAGCATGGATCTAGGACTCCTGGTTCTCATGCTCTGCAGCCGAAGCTGACTTCAAGGTTAGAATCCTCGGCTAGTTTCGCCTCATTATTCTAATGCACTCTTTCAGGTATGCTAAGTCCTACTTTGATGCAGAACACCTAACAGCCTAATAATACATCTTAGAAGACGAAGAAAAGCTTTCAGACAGCTGAAGGCCTCTCTTGCTGGTAGGTGAAAGAGTAAACCATCTGAGTAAATGTTCTTGCTGATGATTACGAAGAGGAGTATAATCTGACAGTGGGGAGTTTAATCAGGACACTTCTCATCTCTCAAGGCTCAGCTCCAGAATTACCTTTTCCATAAAGCTTCCTAACCACCTATAGAAATGTTCCTTATCTCTTTGTGCCCTCATTGAACCCTGGACAGGTTCTACCTGAACCGCTAACATTTGCTATATCTAATGACAACTTACTGTACTTGTTTACAGGTCTGTCTCCTTTTAGGTAAACTCTCTGAAAGCAAGAACCCTGCCATTTACAATAGATGTTCAATAAAGTTAATGAGTTAGTCAGTAGGCTTCACAGTCATTCATGCATCATTCATTCAAAATCTACCTGAAAATGGCAAGCAAATTGTGTGCTTGGAATTAAAAAAAAATTTTTTTTTTAAGTGTAGCAAATGAGGCGGGAATAGCCTTCTTTTGTTTTGTTCTGTTTCACATTTTCAAAGGTTGTAAACCCAGTTGTAGTGAGACATCAACTTGGACACTTACCAAGTGACACAAGGAAATGCTGTACTGCCCCTGACCCTGCCTGCCAGCTGGTTCTCTGGACTGGCTCCATAGCACTCCACTGCTGGCACCCTCAACTGATGCCAACAGTTCCCAAAGGGCAGGGAATGGGCACTGATAGTCTGTTTGGTCAAAGGCTTATGTTCGAAGAAGTCTCACTAAGTTTATTCGTCCAAAGTTCACTTAGAAAAAGAATGGCAGGGTTGGCTGATCCACTTTGCATGTTTCTAGGACTAAGTGACCTAATTTTCTAACTGGCGATAAGCTGAAAAGACCACCCTGTCTTAGGCCTAAGTGTGTCTGTCTCTCCCGCATTAGTGCAAGTCTAGTAAGTTCTCTTGGTTGTCCAAAGGCACAAAAATGGTTCGTACCCTCTGTGTGTCTGTCGACACTAACAGCAGGGAACAGTTAAATGGCATTCATCTCTCTGGGCTACTTGCTATTCTTGCGCATATGTTTACGTCTTAGCCTTTATAGTCTTACTTCTTCCACCTGGAAGGTCTTCTCCTGCCACCTTCAGGGAAGAAAGCCTGACCCATCTCAAAGGCAAAAGTCACATGACACTTCTGTAGGACACCTTCTCTATCCTTCCTCCTCTGGGCCTCAGAAGCACTGTGAACCTCTCTAGGGTGCTTATTAATTTCTATCCCTGCAGGAAAGAGCATGATTCACCCAGGAATTCCTATAGCATGCAGCACAGCAGTGGCACAAAGTAGGTATTTCCTGAATGAATGGGTTTTGACATCTGGATGGTCTAAAGACAAGGTCATTCAACACCAGCAGAGACAGTGAAGGCATGGCTTTGCAGGTGTGCCTCATAGACCCATAGCCTCAGCCCAGCAGCGCTCCTCTCCACAGGACTCACAGAGAGGAGGTCCAAAAAGCACTGTGTCGAGAGCCTTCAGCTGAAGCTTCTGCCGATGGCTCCGGTCTGTCATCTTCAGAACCGTCCCCGTCATAGTGGTGTTGGTTACAGCTAGCCTGTTGAGGCAAAGAGCAAAGAGTCAGTCTCTACTAGCAAGAAGGGGAAGGATCCCAGCAGGCTCTCACCTCTCTCCAGGAACACTCTCAAGACTTCTAATCTTGGAGACTGCTCCCCTATGCATTCTAGAACAAGCCGTCTGTGGATCTTCATAGTGAGTTTGTAAGAACACGTTACCAAGAATTTCCTCACCTTCCTTCTCCATGTCAACTATTTCTTGAATGAGTAATATATCCTCTAAGGTTGTTATGGTATGCCTCTCCTTCTAGGGATTATGCACTATATAATCTGTCTCTATACTCCCATCATTGATAACTTTATTTAAAAAGAATTTTTTTGTATAGCGCAAGTCAAAACTTTATACTATATTACCCATTGAATTCTAGGGACATCTGAATTATCCTAATCCCACCCCGCTGTAAATTATATGTCCACCTACTGATGACCTATTAGTCTTATAGTTTGTTATCTGAGTCATTGAAATACAATTTATTCCCAAACGGATTACTGTACTTTTTCATGACCTTCAACTATACTATCAATGATAACTCAAATAATAGAGCGACTAAAACTAGAAAATGACCTGGGGAAAACTGGCATCTGTTTATCTTTTACTGGAACACAGTGAACAGAGGAGGAGAGGGGAGAAAGATAACGAAAGAATGAAAACCACTCATCTGAGTCGCACGAGTGCAAGACAGATGCTCTTTTCTGACGCAGAACTGTTCTTCCCGGCTAGAAAAGATGCTCTTGATAGCACTAGTGACTGACATTGAGTTAATCCTGATTCAGAACAACTCTACAGGACAGCACACAAGTGCCCTCCTGAGTTTCCAGGCTTCAAATCTCTATGGGAGCAGAAAATCTCATCTTTTTCTCAGGGAGCAGTTTGAAATGCTGACCTTGTGGCTTTTCCCTGACACCAGAGCGTGTGATTTATATACCCCTCCAGTTTTGGCTTTGGAAAGCAATCAAGCCTAACCTATAAGGAAAGTAGTGAGACACTGTCATCAGAGGGGTCAGGAGATTTGGCTTCTAGTCTAAGTTGGCTCACTTAGCTGATCAGAAGCTGCTCCATCAGTTTTCTGCTCTGTACGAAAACAATAGCCAAGCAGTCGATTCCAACGCCTGTGCCTCCATGTGCCTGAGACCAAAACCGTGCTCCACGGGGCTGATTTTTTGGAAGTAGATCATCAAGCCTTTCTACCAAGATGCCGGTGGGTGAACTTGAACTTCCAACCTTTCATTTAGCAGCCAAGTGGCTTAACCACTGGCACCACTGAGGGACTTCTATGGAAACAGAGGTAAAATCAGACTCCTGAAAGCACTTGGAGCTCTTCTTCAGAGCACATCTACCAAGTGTACTGGCTACCATATGGGTTAAGGCGCTCCAGAAAAGGGCGTGTGAACATTCAGATCACTACTCTCTCCAGAGCACGGAGTCACTGAGAGGACGGGCCGCAGGCAGCAGAGGCGGCGTCCACAGCAGTGCCTGGGAGCTCTGTGACTGGAGACTGGGATGTGTGTGCATTCCAACCGCTTCCCCGTCTGCCTTTGTTGAAGCTCATAACCAGACATTTTCTCCTCATAAGATGACAGATCTTTTTAAAAATCATTTTATTGGGGACTCATACAACTGTTATCACAATACACACATTGTGTCAAGCACATTCGTACATTTGGTTGCCATGATCATTCTCAAAACATTTGTTTCCCACTTGAGCCCTTGGTATCAGCTCATTTTTCCCCTTCCCTCCCCGCTCCCCCTCCCTCATGAGCCCTTGATAATTTTATAAATTATTATTGTTTTGTCATGTCTTACACTGTCTGACGAAGATGACAGCTCTTACACAATCGGCAGTAAGCCCTTTGAGGGACAGGGCAGGGAGCTGGTCATCTTTATCCTTACTTAGCACCCAGCACAAGTGCTTGATGGTACCCAGTGAATGTTTGTTGAGTGAGTAAGTAAATGGATTAATAACTGGATGACAGATGCCACGAGCTCGATAGAACAAGAAGTTCAAGCAGTACTCTAACTTCTCCCTACTCCCATTCCAAGCCACAGAATGCTGTGACTGCAAAGGATGTAACAAGTTGTGATACAACAGTTGTTGGAAGAGTTATCCCAGAGAGGAGGTTGGGGTCAATGTAGTTCGCCCCTACTTCTGCACCATTTTAGTTCAAGTAGACAAACTGCATAATGATAACCCAAGGCCCCTAGGCAATAAAAGCAGCAGTTGCTGGGGGACAGAAGAACAGAAAACCAAACCACCAAGGCTTTGTTGTCCACCTAGCTCTAGGTTCAAATCCTAATCCTGCCTCTAACTAGACATGCAACCCTGGAAGAGCTACTTAACCTGTTTCATCATCCACAAAATGGGGAGAATAGCAGTGCCTACTTTGTAGAATAGATGTGAAAATTAACTGAGGTTCTTTGCATAAAGTGCGGAGGAGAGTGTTCTGCAGCTACTAGATAGACACTCAATAAGTCGCATCCCTTAGTATTGCTCCCAAGACTGATAAAAATATCAATCAGGAGAATGGGTGCAAAGTGCCCATCATGTTCTCTAACAAGCAGATAATAGGTGTGAGTAGAGAGCTCTACAGACTCTGCCTGAAAAACATGGGGCCTCACTGAACTGGCCAGAACACATGAAGGCGGCCCACCCCAGTCCAGTCCCAGCACCCACAAGTGAGAAACACCCAGTGCCCTCCTGACCTCGGCATGGCATGGCCACCAAGCTGCAGCTTCCGGAAGGTCTCCTCGTACTGCGGCAGCTCCACATAGGTGATGAGCCACTGTACCACCTCTTCCACGGTCCAGTTATACACTGTGGGGAGAGACAAGCACAGCCGTGACTCCAAGACACCAAGCATTGTTGGAACTGTTTTTAGCAGTCACATTCACCTTAACATTTCCACACTTCAGTGTTTGGTGTCGCTTTCTACTGTGAATCCAAAGTGGGGGAAGAGTGCATACTGTGCCTATTTCTATGAACCTCAGAAGAAGTAAATTCCCAAAAGTATAGTGACAGAGAGAAGATCGGTTTTTGACAAGAGCCAGAAGTGGGTGCTGGAAAATGACTGGAAAAAGCACAAAGGAACCTTTTGGGGTGACGAAAATGCTCTGTCTTGGATGTGGGGGTGGTTATACAGGCGATAGAGTTGTCAAAATTCATCAAACTATACATTTTAAATGGTACATCTATTGTATCTAAGTCAAGCCTCAATAATGTGGATTAAAAAAAATTAACTCTACATAAGACTACGGATAAGAATCCACCTTCCTTTCTCCTATGTCTCTTTTCATCCATCCGCTCATTCATACATCCGTCCATCCATTGACTTAACTAACACAGCCCCAGGAGCCAACCCGTCTCAAGTCCTCCAAAAGTTAGTCCAGTAGAAGAGGTCAAAGGCTGAACTGCATGACCGGAACATGGACTCTGACAAAGGAAGGGACACAGAGCACAGGAGAGAGAGGGAACAGCTTCAGAGAAGAGGAGTTACAATGTAGAAGATTTACCCACCGTCAAGTCAATTCTGACTCATAGCAACCTTACAGGAGAGAGTCGAACTGCTCCCATAGGTTTCCAAGGCTGTAAATCTTTACAGGAGTAGAAAGCTTGATCATTCTCTCTCAGAGATGCTGGTGGGCTTGAACCACCAACCTTTTGGTTAGCAGCCCAATGCTTAACCCACTGTGCCACCAGGGCTCCTATGTAAAGGATTACTATGCGCTTACGTGATGTGTTTAAAGTGTGGAAGAGGAAGCTGTCTATGCAGAATAAAGGCAGGTGCAAGGAAAGGATGTGACGTTTGATGTGTCCAGAACACAGGACGAGTGGAAAATTGAAGCCAAGGCAAGGAGGGTTTCTACTGCCTCATTAAAGTAACTATTTGTATTTTTCTGGGGTGGGCCTCAAGGTGCTCTAGTCACCTAGTGAGACCCTACCCTTTCACAGGAGTCTGTTTAAACTTGAATTAATGAAAATTAAATAGGATTTAAGATTGAGTTCTTCCATCACATTAGCCACACTTGAAATGCTCAATAATTACACATTATTGGTTACACTATTGAACGGCACAAATTATAAAGCCTTTACACACCAGATAATACTGTTAAGACAATTTACTATGCAAATGTTTTGTATACTTATTTTGAAGAGAACTGAGAAATAACAACTAAAACGATATTCCGGATCATCTGGGTATATGCAAGTCTGGGCTCTCAGCTTCAGTGCCTGTCTTGTATAAGTGCTTACAACTGTGTTAATGCATAGTAGCTATAATAGTCAAAGATCATTTTCCTACAGTTCTAGGTCTTCTGTTTCAAATCAAAAACATATCTTAAATGTAGATATTTTAAAATAAAATAACAGAGATAAAACTGGTGCTTTTACAATTAACAAATGTTTTTTATAATTGCAATGATAAATGTTAAGACAAATGTTCCCCACCAAAAATATAAATCACCAAGAAGTGTCCCAATAATTGTATCACCACAGAGATAGCTATAACATCACATGATCCTCTGTTATGACCTCCTGATAGCACTACAGGTGGACATGGGTGATTTTTAACATCACATACTTTCACTGTGGATGATAATAGTATCCTAAACTTGTCTTAGGGGAACCGCTCTACCTTTTCTTTCAGCCAAATATAGGGTAAAGCTAAATGAATCCTTAGGGACCCAAACCAAGCCAATCAGTAGATCCCACCCTTCTACTCAGGTGCTTGGTTCAGAAACCGGCACAAAACTCATATCAAGACCAAAGAAATGGAATTCTAGGAATTTTTTTCCTTTCTTTTTTTTTTTGCTTCCAGAGTGTGAGATGAGCTTGCTCTTCCACCATATTGCTATCTGGGATGAAATGACCCTAAATTACAATCATGATATTAATAGAATCACATAATAAAATAATACTAATAAAATGAACAGCACTGACTACATGACAGGCACTCTTCTCAGCACCTACCTCACACATAATTATTCAGTCATCCTTACAACTACCCTGTGAAATAGGTAGCCCCATTTTATACTCAGCTCACACAGATAACGAACCGGAGGCCACCACCACCACAAAAACCCTCGCTGTCTTCCAGTCAATTCTGTCTGACTCGCAGCACCCCTATACAGGGCTTCCGAGGCTGTAAATCTTCAGAGGAATAGATAGCTTCATCTTCCTCCCTCAGAGTGGTGATAGGTTTGAACCATCAACCTATGGCTAGCTTACTTGACAGCACCATGAAAAGTTATACAGCCCTCCTGAAGTCACCCAGGTAGGATTTGGTAAAACCAAGATTGGGATCCACTCTGGCTCCATGCACTATGCCATTATGTCACATATTGCTGGGGAACTATCATGCAGAGGCAAAAGTCAAGGCCTGAGTAAGGCCATGCTTACAGAAAACCCTATTCATAGATATTCTGGTTTTATGCAATAAATTTCCCCCTTTGGGTTATGTTAGATTTATAGCTTTAGTGCCAAAAGAAGAGATAATTCTAACGGAAATAATCACTGAGAGGTAAAAGTATGGCTAATGACACCATCACCATACGTAAGCTGCTGTAGCTAATTGTTCCTCAGAATTATAATGCTGTGGGGGTTTTTAAGGGATAATCATTAAAAAATCCTTTAAAAGCAATTGTGAAATCTGTGTGGTGTTCAGATAATAAGTTCATCTCCACACTGTATATCAAAAATCAATTATAAAGGAATAGAAGTAGACTTAATACGTGGTGAATGTATTTGAGCCAAGTGACGGTCAAGTGACAGTGTATTACACAAATCAAAAGTCTACAGTAGCTTGGGTCGTGAAAAATGCCGGGAGGACTGAGTCATCAGATGGCATTCAGTAGTGCAGATATGCCAAACCTGAAAGAGTCTGGGAACGATTCTGCTTCAGCAGAAATATACCAACTTATTGGATTTGAAGTTTGTCTTGATTTACTGTATACATCTTATTTTTCTTATGTTTGTATAAAATTCTATACAGTGACTTAAACCTCGTTTACTTAAATTTTTTTATTCAGATAACACTAATTTAAATACTTAAATAGCATTAACATAACAACAATTTAAGCCAGCACTGCAAATTCAAGATAAATAATTTCCCTTAAAAGGAATGTGTACGTTCCTCAAGTTTGAGAATAGGAAGAAGTCACACAGTGTGGAAGCACAAGGACAGGGTGAGATTCCTCCCCTCCCCTCCTCCTTACTAAAAACTGGCTTTCTCCAGAATTCTGTCTAGTTTCTCATGAGTAGTCAGCAAACATTTATGGTATGGACCATGTCTTCCTTGTTAGGTCTTGCTTGAGTATTCCCCAAAAGAGTTTTGTATACAGGGGCATCAATAAAAATTTACTCAAGAAAAATTGCCCTAAATAAGAAGTTCCACAAATGTTCTAATTGCGGGTTTATACACAACAAACTTCCGTAGAAAAATATACAGTTCCTATAGATGATGTGCTTGTCTAACACAGAAAGCAACCGGCTATACAAATGGTACATCCAAATTCTGGGCTATGGCAAAGGAGGGAAAATGAAATCAGGGTTAGAGAAGCGTTCGGGAAAGTAGAATGCACTAGCTATTATTCTTGAAACGAGCATGTATCCTCACGCCTTACAAGTGTGCTCATGTACTAGAATCCTGGTGTCAGGTAAGGAAGACATGGAGAGCGGCACACAGATGAAACAGACAGACAAGTGTAGGCCCGAAAGAAACAGAGAACACCACACTCCAGCCACTGCTGCCAAGAGCACTGCCTCCTCAGCACAAAGGAAGCCTTTCTGCTTGCTGGGGAGCAGAAAGAAAGCCACTTTGTTGTTGCTGCTGCTAAAAGGCCTGAGGCCAGCGGCCCTTCAAGGACCTTTTGTCTACTGGGAGGGTTCCTTGATACAAGCCTGGGCACAGACCCGTGGCGATAGTTGGAAGTCACTCTAGACAGGGTTTCTCAACTTCCACATAACTGGCATTTCAGACCGGATCATCCTTTGCTGTGTGTGTTGGTGAAAGGCTTTCCTATGTGTTGCCAGGTGTTTAGCAGCATCCCTGCCTTCTACCCACTAGATACCAACGGCACGTTCCCCATCATGACCCTCAACAATGTTTCCAGACATTGCCAAATGTCTATTGGAGTGTCGAGGGAATCGCCTCGAGTTGAGAACCACAGCTCTAGATACCACATTTAGAGAGGCAGAGGCCTCTACTGAGGCTGGAAGCTGGACTATTCCAATACCTCTAAGCTGCAGAGAAGGCTAGAACCTTGAGGCAGAGTTTGAGCTCGGTACTATGGCCCTGTTACGTAGGCAGATGGCCTGCCTATGCAGGGCTTGTCTACTACCCAGAGTCACTACAGTCTTAACAAAGTAAGCCCGGATGAACTGTATCCTTCTGTGACAGCAATTCCATGTGACAGCAGAAAGATCTCATTTGGGGTCCTATGTTCAACTACCTGAAAGTTACATGCCATGCTTTTCCTTCTCCTTCCAAAGGAGAAAATGAGAAGAATGGTGGGTCAAAATGATGCAAAGGGGAACATCAAGTGCAGAGGGCTGAGGCTATCAGGGAGGCTACAGGATTTGGCAAGAAGAGCTAAGTAAAGATGCAATCACCAAATGACTCACACCCCAATCCCAGGAAGGCATGCAAGCGAGAGATAGACTTCTAAGTCATGAGTCTCTCACCCTCCGAGCCTTGTCCATGTGGCCTTTAACCAGATCAAAGATCACTTATCTCCTAGCGAAAGGAAGATCAATGCTCCACAGAATCAGAGATGCCAATCTCTGGAGTTTTCCACATTAGCAAAAACACAAGATTATAA